TGTCCTGCAGGCTCAGGGAGCATCAGTGTCAGCGCGAACTATCCGTCGACATTTAAATGAAATGAAACGCTATGGCAGGAGACCCAGGAGGACCCCACTGCTGACACAGAGACATAAAAAAGCAAGACTACAGTTTGCCAAAATGTACTTGAGTAAGCCAAAAGCCTTCTGGGAAAACGTCTTGTGGACAGATGAGACCAAGATAGAGCTTTTCGGTAAAGCACATCATTCTACTGTTTACCGAAAACGGAATGAGGCCTACAAAGAACAAAACACAGTACCTACGGTAAAATATGGTGGAGGTTCAATGATGTTTTGGGGTTGTTTTGCTGCCTCTGGCACTGGGTGCCTTGACTGTGTGCAAGGCATCATGAAACCAACATGTACGACAAAAAAAAAAAAAAAAAAAAAAAAAAAAAAAAAGAAAAAAAAAAAAAAAACAAAAAAAAAAAAAAAACATGAAATCTGAGGATTACCAAAGGATTTTGGGTCGCACTGTAGGGCCCAGTGTCAGAAAGCTGGGTTTGCGTCCAAGATCCTGGGTCTTCCAGCAGGACAATGACCCCAAACATACGTCAAAAAGCACTCAGAAATGGATGGCAAAGAAGCGCTGGAGAGTTCTGAAGTGGCCAGCAATGAGCCCAGATCTAAATCCCATTGAAAACCTGTGGAGAGATCTTAAAATTGCTGTTGGGAAAAGGTGTCCTTCCAATAAGAGAGACCTGGAGCTGTTTGCAAAGGAAGAGTGGTCCAAAATTCCGGGTGAGAGGTGTCAGAAGCTTATTGATGGTTATAGGAAGCGACTGATTTCAGTTATGTTTTCCAAAGGGTGTGCAACCAAATATTAAGTTAAGGGTGCCAATACTTTTGTCCAGCCCATTTTTGGGGTTTTGTGTGACATTATGTCATATTTGCTTTTCTGCCTCTGTTTTATATTTGTTCCAATACATACAAAGGGAATAAACATGTGTATAGCAAAACATGTGTTAATGCAATACCTTTTTTGTGTGAAATACTTGATTTTCAGGAAAAATATCAAGGGTGCCAACAATTTCGGCCATGACTGTATGTATTATATGTTTTTTGTCTGTGCATTTAGCTGTTTGCCTGGAGTTCAACTTTAATATATTACTGTATTTTTTACCTTCACATAATTCTTGCTGTAACTTTCACTTTTTTAACAAAGCTGTAGTTATTTCCATAGCTTTATAAGACATAAAAAATGTGCAGATTCTGTCTGTATTGACTAAAACACTCAGCTTCCCTAAATAATATCTGCAGAGATAAATTAGTTAAACCTGACAGGTAGACTGCAATGACCAGGGAGAAAAAAGTAAAGCACAACTTTTGTGCAACACTACTAAGAAGAGCCTGCATATGCAATAACCAAATATAGCAACTATCATGTACATATAAAAATGCAAAGTTTGAACAGAAATAAGAGTTTGAAAACTAACGCATTCATAAATTAATATGATTTCCACTGAGTCATTAAATAAAGTTAAAAAGATAATACATAAAAAAATGAAAGGCAGAACCTGTAGATACAGTAAATATTCTAATAAATCCTTGGTTTGTTCAAAGTACATTTAAAACTGTTTTAGAGATCCACATAAAATGTATATGTGTTTTAGCCAATTTAAGGCTGGACACATTCACCCCTTCCTGTCCAGGCCAATTTTCAGCTTTCAGTGCTGCTACATTTTGAGTGATTACTCATGCAATATTGTACCTACATGAATTTTTTTTTTCATTTTTCTGAGACAGAGCTTTCTGTTGTATTTAACCGCTGGGTTTTCTATTTTTTGCTATATAAAAAAAATGCTAAAAAGTTTGAAAAAATAAACTTTTTTTTGCTTAGATTTTGTTATAAAAGTTTGCAAATAAATAATCTTTCTTCATAAACTTAGGCCAAAAATGTATTCTAATACATTTTTTTGGTAAAAATAACCCAAAACAGTGTATTTTATGTATGTGTGCAAGTTATAGAGTCTACAAGCTATGAGATATATATCTGAAAGTTGATCAGTTGAGACCCTAAAATGCTGGTATGAGGTATGGCAGTGATCAGGACGTTGGCATGAGGTATGGCAGTGATCAGGATGCTGGTATGGTGGTGATCAGGATGCTGGTATGGGGTATGGCAGTGATCAGGACGCTAGTATGGGGTATAGCAGTGATCCGGATGCTGGTATGGCGGTGATCAGGACAGTGGTAAGGGGTATGGCGGTGATCAGGACAGTGGTAAGGGGTATGGCGGTGATCAGGATGCTGGTATTGGGTATTACAGTGATCAGGATGCTGGTATGGGGTATGGAGGTGACCAGGACACTGGCATAGTGCATGGCAGTGATCAGGACACTGGAATGACATATGGGGTGATCAGAACGCTGGTATGGGGTATGACGGTGATCGGGACAGGTGACAGGGGCTGGCTGCATTTTTTATTTACAATTCACAGGGGCAGTGATCAGAGACACTGGGGCAGTCATCTGGGATAATGGGGTGGCTGGCACTGCAGTTTGTGTGTGTACATGCCGCTTGACTGGCTGCTGTACACTCACAGGCTGCTGCATTGGTTCTCTCTGCTCTCTGAGAGCACTTACTTTCAGTTTCTATTGTTTACTATGTGATAGGGTAAAACAATCACATGGTAAAACACCATGTGACCACCTGGATAGAGCGGTAATGTGATCCGCTGTGCCCAGGTGACATACAGATCACTGGGCTCCCGGGTGCACGCACTGTGAGCGGAACAGGAGCCGCTGATGCAGGCTGACGTCAAGGTACGTTAGTTTGCATTGGCACTGCTTCCTGTCCGCCGTCTATAGGCAATGGGAGGACGGGAAGCGGTTAAAGAGACATGGTCTTCTTGCCCATGCAGCAAAAGGTATCTCCCCAACCATCATATAGCTGCTTTTCCAGCACTCCCTTGTTCCTCCACAGCCAGCCACACTATCCAGTACTTCTGTGTATGGAGGAGCATGCAACCAAGAAGTGTCAGATGGCAGTGGTGCTCATAACTCCTAAAGGTGAAACCTTTTCTTCTAGTTTTAGATGGTCTTGCAAAAAAGCACACATTCATTAACCTGTTCCTTCTAGTCATTAGTCTTCAGTCACATTGGTCTGCTCACTGGTGAGGACAGAGATGAAGGCAAACAAGTCTTTCTAGAACTTTTTACCTTTAAATGACAGCACATAATACATGCCAGTTGAAGACAGTAGATTGAACCTAACACTCACAAAACACAAATACACACTGGCTGGACCATGGGTCAAGTCTTACAGTGGAGCTAAAGGTAATTACTTTCTGTGTTTGTAAGTTCAGAAATTCTAATTAATCCTAAGCAGTCCTAAGGGACATTTTCCCTTCAATCCTCCTGAAAAATAGCAGGGTACTTCCTGGTATGTCAGTGTGCCTAGGAAACCAGGAGTCCAAAGCCTCATAGCTGTGTACCTGCAGTGTGAGATCTACGGCACTGCTGGCTCTGTCTGCTAGTCTCCTAAGATTTAGACTGAGATTTGGTGGTGTCATAGTGTGCTGCTGTTTACTGTTCTCTTTAATAGAAGCTCTGCCTCTACCACAATGATTACCACCATACAAGGAAACCTCCTTAATAGAAGCTCTGACATGGGGAAGCAGAGCCCTGCTTCTACTGAGATGATCACCATCATACAAGGAAGCAGTTCAGAACAGTACATGTTAAGTCAGCTGCAGGGAGACCACAGGCAATACTGGTAACTAGTCTTTTGGCCTCTACCCACTTTTTTTGGGGAACAGCTTCCACAGTTCAGTTCCATCGGGCCGGCCTCTGTAAGCCGAGATGCACATGCACAGCTCAGTTTACATGCTAGGTACTGCTGCGAACAAGCAGGTAGGTGTATTTTATTGCAGATGTCTCTTCTGCAATAAAAAAAACCCTGGCTGCTCGCAGTGAACTTTAGTTCCGCTTTCAGACAGTTTTAGGATTTTTGTACTTTTAGTAATACATTATTAGTTTACATCTTATAAATCAGTATACATGCACTCACATCAGTTAACATACAAATGGATGTGGTTCCTTCCGTACAATAGAGGTAAAAGGGAGAGAGAAGCATGAGGTCTTTAAAGAGACCCTGTCACCAGACCTCACATTTTGTATCAGAGCACATAAAAGTTGAACACAGCAGTGGCTGACTGTAATATGTGCAGAGAGGAGGAGGTTTCGCTGCTGGCAGAATTTAGTGCTCTGCTGTATGTGAACTCCTATCAGCTCCTCTGCTTTGTTACCAGATAAATGAGGGGATGTTTAGTGAGCCTCAAATATATTAGGCGAATACTACTAAGCATCAGTTGAATGACTTCTGTGTCTGCCTGGAGTTGCTGATGTCACATCAAACATGGCATCGCCTAGCAGCAGTTTCCGGCCTGGTCAGTATGGTAGTATCATCAATTACAGAGAGATTAGCTACACAAACTAAGTAATTTGCCATATAATCTTATGGAATGATTGTTCCTGCTATTAATAATATGGAGACAGGGTCTCTAACAATGTGTATTTTACTTTTAAGTCACCCTGTAGCCACATAAAAGGAAACTGGTGCTTGAAACCATACTAATTACCTGCCCTGCTATGGTTGCCTTCACTGTTTTGTAGAGATACAGCTGGCTGTAGAATCTTCTGCAATGCACTCTTCTGAATTTGTTGAATGCCTGGTCCACCTCTGAACATTCATTCTCTGGCCCCTACTTCTCTATAGGACACAGCAGTGTGTAATGGCCAGCAAACAGAACAACAGTGGAGGACCAAGCAGCTGACACACACAGAAGTGGATTCTTCAGCCAGCAGCATCTCTTCAAAACGGAAGAGCAGTGCCACATGCACCAATTCTTTACATTTCTTTTAGATGGTGACAGGCTTGTATTAATGCCTGTATAAGCTTGTTGAGTGAATGACATATCATACATTTATAAATGATCAAACATTTTCCCTTTCATGCACCCACTCCTTCATGCTGACCTTTTCAACTCTTTCCAAGCTGGCATGTAGCTGCTTCTGAATGTTATATAACGTGGATAAAGGGAGATTTTCTAATTCAGAAACAGAGCTAAGTAATTTAGAATCTTGTGTTCCAGGAATTCTTTCCAGCTCCTCCTGCAGTTTCTTCACTTGCAGCTCCAGGGCATCTCTCTGCTCCCGCGCAAGTTCACATTCCATGCTAGCTGCTGTCGCCCGCTCGTTAGCTTCTTCTGCCTCTTTCTTCCAGGCATCACAGGCCTGATGAGAGAGAGATAACTGAACCAATACAAAGGACAGAAGTTTGCATTCTAATTATAAATGACTTAAAGCTGAACTCCAGGCAGGTTTTGAAAAAGCTATTTGTGAACATGTTTCCAGGTAAGTAGTGAGATAAACTCAAATGTGTGTTGCTCCTATTTCATTGTAGTCATGGGTCTTGGACTTTGCTAAAATAGAGTCTACAGAGAGATCCAGGACTAACTGTGTTTGGATTGATGACAAGACTGAACAAACGCATATGTATTTTACCAGAGCTTTTCACTGTCACCTGGAATTTAGTTTTATAGAAAATGCAAAAAAAAAAAGGGAGGAAAACAGTTTTCTACATAGTACTTTCTTTTAATTACTTTTAAAGTACCCCAGAGTATGCAAAGTATAAAGGCTAAAATCAAATGCCAGTGTACATCACTGTTTACCTGTTTAGCTTGTTTCCAAGAGTCCTCCCATTGTTTGATAGTGTTACTGGCCTCTTCCAGCTCCTGACGTAATCTAACAAGCTCGGCCCCACCTGCTCCAGAGGGGAATGCAGGTGACGTCCCAGGAGAATAGCTGCCCGACACAAAATGTTCCCATATACTATTATTCATGCCGTTTAAGCCTATACATATAAAAACGAAACAAGGAAAACAAGGTAAACCTTAACCAAGAGCTAACTAAAATGAGTTACTAAAAACAAGTTACTAAAGACAAAATTCACAGGAATAACCCTACTAAAGCTGGATCTGTCCCCCTGCATCCATTTGCTGCACAGTCACTTACCTAGTGAACCATGAGTGGCTGATGTACTGAGAAAGGTGTTTTCTGATTGGCTGTGTGCTCCAGGGGTCTGGTGCATAAAGTGTGAGGAGATGCTGACAGGTGGAGATGGAGATGTGGAATGGAAGGATGCTGAGCTGCCTAAGGATCCAGGGATGTTTACAGGTGCAGAACTCTGCATTAGGCTGCCACCTGTAATTAGAAAGAACAAATTAACACATTACAAAGAAACAATCAGACATTTCAGATGGAATCTGGAAGCTCTGTACTCATTTCAAAGTATTGCTGGCCATCCATCAACAGACTTGTTTCTTCAGCTTTAAGGCTAAGCCGATTCCTCCATTCGATATTCAAAACTCTGGGACATAAAGCTTTAGTTTTGAAAATCAAACATTGAAGGGGGGTAATTATATTAGACATTTGAGTCCTTTTGGGTTTTCGAAACTAAAGTGTTACCTCCTAGAGCAGTGGTTCTCAACCTGTGGGTCGCAACCCCTTTGGGGGTCGAATGACCCTTTCACAGGGGTCGCCTAAGACCATCGGGAAAACACACATTTCCGATGTGTAAAGAGCAGCTACTGTGTAGAAAGCAGCTACTGTGTTGAAAGCAGCTACTGTGTTGAAAGCAGCTACTGTGTTGAAAGCAGCAGTATTGGAGGTAAAACGACACTTCATGAATTATAATTACTGGGTAAATAATTTTATGGTTGGGGGTCACCACAACATGAGGAACTGTATTAAAGGGTCGCGGCATTAGGAAGGTTGAGAACCACTAGAGGTTTGAATATCGATTTTGACTTGAATTGTTGTATTAAGAATAGCTAAACGGGTTGTGTTAGCGATGCCTGTGCTTGATTTTATTTATTAATAATTTTATATTTACGTATTGTATGTATTTTATTAAATTAATGTTCTTATGGTATTTGGTTTTAATGAATAGGTTTATGTTAGACCTGTTGCTTGCAGTACCCAGAAGTGAAAACTGATGTCCATCTAAATTTGCCCATTAGGTATACATCATTTATAGTTGGTTAGGGGGCCTCAGTTGCTTTTCATTTATTATGTTGATTCCATGGTCAGAACGGGATGCATGATGACGCACGTCCGGTTATTGGTGATTGACGCACTTCCGCTTCCCGGAAAATACTGAAGCACTTCCGGTTCCCGTAAGCTACTGACTTTAGGCGTTACTATGGAGATGGTTTAAGTAGCATATAAGGGCTCGGGTGAGTCAACTCCTCATCTACTAAGGAAGCCCTATTGGAGGGTGCAACGAGTCTAGAGAGGAGGCGGAGCTGAGCCTGTGACATCACACTGCCGCCATGTTGATCCCAGAGTGGTGAGCACGTTGATGACTGGTTTTAACAAAAGAGCATTTTATTTATTTTATTGTAAGTGTATTTTGAATGCTGGGGATTTAATAAATGTTTAAATGGAGAGCACTATGTTTTGGTTTTTCTGTTACATGGGCTCTATATCAATTGATGTTTGAGTGCAAGTAACAGAGAAAGGCGGTAGTATCCTGAAGGGGAAGAGAGGAGTCTGAACCAGAGAAATTGAGCAACTGAGAGATCCAGATGAGTGTTTAAGTATATATGAGGTAAGCTGGTTTTTCACCCGTCGGTGGAGGTGCACTTATCACTGGATGAAGAAGTGAAGATATTTCTTTTTCACCAAATATCCCACCAGGGTTTCTTTGGACTTTCTCTTTATTGTTGACTTTATATTTTGGTTTTATTTTTTTAAACACACAATTTGGATTTGATGTTGATACTTTATGTTTATATACATTGTATTATGTGGAGTTAGTAGGTTGCTCTGCACTGAAATTGTATTAAACACTAGAATACAGTTGAGAGTGTTGTCCCACTATAACAGGGAAGGACCTTCATGGTAGGATCATCAGGTATTATTTTAATGGAATCAGCAGATTTAAAAAATTACTTTTGAAATTACAATAACAAAACTTCAGATTTTAATAATTAGGAATACATTCACTTTAGAAGAAAAGGCATCATAATAACTCAGTTAATGTTGCTCCCCCTTTGATCTCTTCTGCATACATCTTGTAATAAGTCACTTTGTGAATACTGTTTTTCCTACTTTTTTAGTTTTTCTATGTGCTCATGTGACTGCAAAGCTCCGGTGTTTCTGGCACAGTGGAGGGTCATACAATGGTAGTGAATATCAGGGAACTTGTGCGATCATCCTGCCAGCATTCACAGCTCCCCAGGTTGCCAAGTATTGTCAGCTGAAAGAGGAGTTCCTGCCCACCAGCCACAGAAAGTGAGCCGGCGTACCACAGGTTGGTTTTCAAAGGACCACACAGAAAAATTGAAAAAGAAAGTATTCAAAAGCAATGTATTACAAATACATACAGGATGAGAAAAGCTAAGGAGCAGCAACATTTAACTGGTGAGTTATTGTGATGCCTTTGCTTCTAATTTTAACTTTTTTTTTTTCAGACTTTTACATTTTACATGCCTCTATTTTTTAAGCTATATTTGTAGAGTAATCACTTAGTAAAATCTCAGTCTGCAACCACTTTGCCTCCTTTTTTCTTTTTTTTTTTTTTTAACAGGTATAGGTTTATTGTATAATGCACATATAGATACAAGTATGACTATCGACATGATACAAAAACAAAGTAGCATAAACATATGTCCAGTAAAAGTCGGCAAAAAAAAAAAAAAAGGGTATCAAGGCACCGTACAGACATGCTAGGTACTACAAAGAACCACGGAAGGATGGTAACACAATTTACTAGTGCAGAATCACCCCTGCAGTCACCACCACACCAGCATTGTTCTGCAAACACCCACCCACACAGTATACCATACGCATACCTCTCATTGTGGCAAATCTAATAAAGAAAGGGGGGGGGGGGGGGTGACTGTATGGAGAAAAGTAGTACCTGGTGAAAGTTAGTACAAGACTGTTAGATTAAGCTTCCCTAATTAGCCATCTCATCGTCAGTTATTCTATATGCATCAATCAAGGCCGACCATATTTTGTCAAAGTTTTGGGGGCAATTTCTACTGTCGCAGGTCATTTTATACAACGGTAGGACCGCGTTTACCACAGACTTCCAACCCTCTACCGTAGGAGGGGCAGTTTGTTTCCATTACAAAAGAATTTCCCTTCTGGCATAATAAAGTACAAAGAACAGACACAGTTTAACCACTTGCCAGAGGATTTACCCACTTCCTGACTAGGCCATTTTTTGCATTACGGCACTGCGTTATTTTAACTGACAATTGCACGGTCATGCAACACTGCACCCAAAAAAAAAAGACCAACAATTTTGAGAAAAAAAAACAATATTTTTGACTTTTTACTATTAAACATGTCCAGTAAAAAATTGTAATAATCACATTTTGTGATAAATTTAGGCCAAAATGTATTTTGCTAAAAAAAAAAAATCCCAATACGTGTAAATTAATCGGTTTACTTGAAAGTTATAGTGTTTACAAATACTGGGATTTTTTTTAATTTTTCTTATTTTTACTAGTAATGGCGGCGATCAGCGACTTATAGCGGGACTGCAGCCGGCAATCTGACACTGGGGGGGAACTGACTTGGTGGCACTGATATCTCCAGTGACACCAATACAGCGATCAGTGCTAATAAAAAGCACTGACACTGTACTAATGGCACTGGGCAGGAAGGAGTTAACATCTGGGGCGATCAAAAGGATAACTGTGTGCTGTTTTGGTGTGTGTGTGTGTCAGTATAAGCACACTGCTTTGCATGGCTCTGCTAAACAGTACAGTGTGCAGGAGCTTAACAATACAGTTCTCTCCCTCCGTCAGTAATGTTCCTGGATCACCGGGTGGTGGTGAGTAATCACTGGCTTGGAACGCCGAGGGTGATCTGCACTGGCTGGAACCCGGGATTGACAGCTGAGGTCGCGAATAGCGGCGCGGGTAGAGCTCACGCGTGTGTCTGTCCCCATGGACAACCCGGACATGCAAAATCACATATATATCCATATACGTGATTTTGCGCACCAGTGCTGCCCTGTAGCAGCATTACTGCTATAGAGCGAACAGGAAGCGGTTAAAATATCTGTCAGGCTCTATATCATCCATGCTGCCTAGAAGCACAAATTTCACATCAAGCCTCAATGGACAATTAGACAAGATCTGCAGTGCATCCAGGACTGTCTCCCAGTAGGAGCTAATGGGTGGGCATTACCACACCATAGGAATAAAGGTACCAGGAGAAGAGTGACAGCGGGTGCAGTGAGGGCTAAGCGAGGGGTAGATAACTGCCTCTGCGGGGTATAATAAACCCTATGTAAGAACTTTAGCCGTATAAGTCTATCCCTAGCAGAAATCATGTTAGTTACATAGGGACCTAAGCAATCCCCCCAGTCATCAGCAGTAAGGTCATAACCCTATGAATTGATTGCTCAGGAATGTTATATGCTTTCTCTCTGAGCATTTCTGTGGAGTATTATTTCCTTATGCAAGTGGACCAAGAGGAGTATCTATCCATTTCACATACTTGGTTACATCCCTTAAAGGGACAAGTGCACATGACCTTATGTTTGCAGGTCAATAAGTGAAGTGAGCTGCTACTGGTGGTGGTGGTGTGGCACAGAATGTAAAAACACGGAAGAATTTGAAGTATTAGGAATAGACATCAAAGGTCACTCTCATGCAGATTTTTCTTTTCCTCTTTTTTTTTATTGCATTCTAATTTGTGTTTAGACATTTTCTGGACTTGGGTTGGACTTTTAAAAATGGTCTAGTAAATGTGGCGCAGCGCTGAATTGTTTTATATTAATTTTGCCAGATGGAATGCATTTTTTTTCAATAAGTTGTCCAACTTATAGACATACTTTGGGAGAAGGGCGAATTAAGGTATTGCAAAGCAGGAAAGCCCAGTATATGCAATGCACTTATACTGTATAGCCTCTCCATGCACCTATTTAATAACACACTGTACACAACAACACCTATTTTCAAACATAACCACATGTTGACAGCAGTATCTACTTCAATTTATTCTAATTAAGCTTAGCTTCATACTAGTGCTGCTGCATCATCACGTGTTTTTCAATGTGTTTTGTAGCGTGTCTTTAATGGCTTTTTATGCTTTCTGCATTTTTTTTTGTAGGAGTAGGAGACTGGATTTTAAACAGAAAATGGTGCCAAAAATGCACTAAAAATGTATGTACATGTGCTGAAATCCAGGCTAAACAAATGTTTTCTAAATACTGGAACCATGTATATTCTTACTTAAATTTTGATATCCTTTGTGTATTTCTTCCAGATCTGTGCAGCAATCCAGTAAGAAAAAGCTCCTGTGCTGTGTGTCTGTGCAGGAACGTCTTGTAATAAAGACTAATCACTGCTGCTCTCTCTCCTCTTGCAAAGTGGTGGTCTCGATGTATAATTTTTTTTGCAGGCAGCCTGTAATGGGAGGACCTGCTGGATCCCAGCCACAACACAGTATAAGTACACCACAGTGATGATGTCACTACCACATTTAAAAGGTAATATCTTGGTTTCCAAAGACTTTTGGTGTACATAAAGTGGGTTTAAAGAAGAAATACAGCCAAAGCATGTTTGGCTGTACTTCTCCTGTGGATCACAGGCGTGCAGTTCATTCTGCACTCCTGTGACTGTTTTCAGCTGTCACGCAGCCAGTCCAGGCTGAGGAAAAATCCCAGCTGTAAAGTCAGGATCCACCCAGATGTCTGGAGCAGCACCTGGACCAGCCTCTCAGCAAGCAGCTGAGAGCCTGCGCCAGCCGTTCCCACCCCCTCCACAGCCCAGTGCTCCAGTGAGCACTGGGGGTGGGGGTCAGAGCAGATTGCTCTCACCCTTAGAGCTGGTGGGGGGCACATGCAGGATCAATGCTGCATCCACCTAGATAAGTATGATTTAAAAAAAAACAAAACAAAGCAAAACAAAACATACTTCTGTTTTTAAATCTTTTGTGACTATTAAAAATATATTCAAATTAACATTTTTGTGCCCAGAGTTCAACTTTAAAGTATATTCACCGCCAAAACTTTCACAGAGATCGATGGCTATCATTCCCCAGTCTTAAATTAGGATGTTTTAATGTAGTCTCTGTTGGAAAGTTTTCTAATCAAATTCCTGTCTTGGGAGCAACCATAATCACTGGTACAGGAAGAGAGGGAAATCTGCCACATTGGAGACAAAGACAACAATAAAGAAAAAGTACTGTATAACCTCTATCCAAAACGAAAAAAAAAAAAAAAGTAGGGTTTGACTAGAAAATACAAGCAGCTTACAATAAGTCAACATTGACGATAGTTACTGTGATATAAACATAAGGGAAACATGATCAATTACCTATCATTATACCGCCAGATGTGGCAACTGTGGTATTATCAAACGACTTCTCTAAAGCAGCAACACCAAAATCATTTAAATCAAGATCATCCAGGGCAGATTCTGAAAGAAAAAAAAATGCATGAGGAAAATTGTAGCCTGAAAAATAAAGATAGTGGTGTAAAATTGTGTAAGAGAACATTAACATCATTTGAGCTGGCCATACATAGCCAATTTTCGCCCAATTCCTAGTAAATCAACTACAAATCAAGCTGTAGTTGGCCCTGTTGGCACCAATTGTCAGACAAACAGGGACTATACTCTATCAGATTTGCGGCCTCTGGAATGATAGTGGTCACTCTGTTAGTTTTTCCTTCGAAACCTGGAAAATATATAACCGTCGTGGGGATCTTTCCCATTTCATAGTGTGCAGCAACAGCCCTGAAGAAGGGAGAGTCTTTCTTCCTGAAACACGTTCACTTGATGTACTTTGTCATTATTCTCAATAAATGCCTCTTAATCTACTAGCAAAAGTGCATTCTTTTGGACATCGGGCTTTCTTATTATTCCAAGTCTATCAGATGCAGTCACATTTCAGGTATTCAGATGGCCACAGGTGCTGCGATAGTCTGAATACAATAGTCGGTGGTGGAGATTCCTCCATCCATGCTCTTTAGCATGTATAGAGAAATCTATGCCTGTATAACGAAAAAATTAGGAGATAAAAAACATAGCGCATAAATATTTATTGAAAATATAATGGTGCAAGACTGATTGTATAAGATAACTCTATAACTTAAAGATAACTTATCTTTATTTCAAATCATTTAATTTAAGCTGGTACTTTGACCATAGAAGGTAAAGGAACAGGTACAACCTACAAGAAGTCCAAAAAGCATGCTTTATTAAACTTCCCCTCTTTCCCCCAATGCCCCCATTTATTGCCCGAGACCCCTAAAATATCTGTAACCTTTGACTTTGTGAGAAAGTGGCAACTTATATAGGGCTATACATTCCCCATTCTAGGGGATTTGACCTCGGGATTGGTCACTCAGGCACTGGCAGCTGGATTTTGGGAGACAATGGTTCACATATTTCCCCACATATATCAGGTCATTTCTAGTATTTGGTAAAGTTATGCAGCAAGACGAAAAGTACAAGATTCTAAATGTGCCTATGAAGCAAACCTGTCTGTTATTTTGCAGACCAGGGCTCTCCAAACTTTCTAAGCAAATGGCCAGTTTACTGTCCATCAGGCTTTAGGGGGGCCGGACTGTGGCCAGTGGGAGTAGAAAATGCCCCAGCATCAGTGGGCATAAACAATGCCCCATCATTGGTTTTAATTAGAGGAATAAGGCCCCATTGTAGGTATCAGTGGGAAGAATAGAGCCATCAATGGTGTTAGTGGGAGGAATGGTGTCCCATCATTGGTGTCAGTCGGTCAAATAGTGCCCCAAGGGCCAGATAAAGGCTAGCAAAGGGCCACATCTGGCCCCTGGGCCACAGTTTAGAGACCACTGCTATAGATGACTGGACAGGCTTACTCCTTTCCTTTTTCCCTACTCCTCCTTTTCCTTACATCAGCTATTCTGGCCAAAAAAGCACCAGATATGTGGCCAGAAGCAGTAGCTCCCATCCTCTCCTATCTAGTCTGGAACAATTATGGAATAGGGCAACAGTGCATTTAACTAGTGCATAAAAACAATGGAGGAGTGGACAGAATCATCAAATGTGTGTATTTTGTGGCATTTCCCTGACAAATATGGAATACATTGTACTTTAAACTATCTCACCATTGGCAGCCTTGCATGTAGGTTTCCCAAAAGCATATTGACATTTTGGATTCAAGGCTGAAAATACTTGATCCACTGTTATAACTATTAACCAGAACAATTCTTTCACAAAATGGTCATTTAGAAAATAGTGTGCAAAATGTTTCATAAGTTAAAAGTGTTTTTATTTCCAGTGAGAAAAAGTAAAGCCTCCATACTTGCCCCACATTGCTGGTCCACAGCGTGTCCTTCTTCAAACCCCAACCAACCAGCTGCAACGTTAGCTCTGCCAAGCAGCTACAGTGCTACTAGTGCTTAGAAATGGTGCTCAGCTTTCTTCCAATGCCACTGCCTGCCATTAGAAAGTCAGAGGCTTTCATACTGGGCTGACTCTCACAAACACAATCTAGGTGGAGTGATGGCCATATCTAGGGGTATTGGAAATTCCTGGAATGAAGGCACTTGATTACAGGAGCATATAACAGATCCATGGTTACATAGGAACACTGGAGCAGGTAATATGGTCAGAATAGACAAACAGAAGACTAGTGCATTGCCAGCTAGGGGTAATTGGCTAGGATTGGCCAAGTTGTTAAAAGTACAGATGGACCTGTGAAGCAGCACAAATTCCAGTAAGCTACAGGAGTATTTAAGCTGGGCAACTGCAGACACAGACAGGAAAAGACAGAGCACCAGAATACAGCCAGGAACAGGTGAGTTGTAGCCAGAAACAACAAAATAATGGTACAAGCATATCAGAAGTAAAGCCTATACAGGTCAGATAAAGAGAATCCATAACTAATACAGCTCAGATTAGTACCTAACACAAAAGACTGAAGGGCTTAACCCCAACCCCAGGAACAGAAAAAGAAGCTGAGTACAGACTAATTCAGAGGGATGTATTAACACTGGCTGGTGAGGCACAGCTCCTAAGTAGGCACAAGCACAGAACAAATTAGCTACAGATGTTAAAGGGGGACACAAACCAGATTTGTGACACTGGCCTTGGAAACCCATAGGAAAAGCAATAGGTGTCTGAAGATAGCGAAAAGGAGACAAACATCTCCAAGCAGACGCTGCCCTGGACCTACTTAGATGATCAAACTATCTACTTAGACTTTAAATCAGAACACTAATGCTGTTCATCAGTGGTGGTGGTGGGAAGGAGAGGTTGTTTTACTTTTTACTAGTTAGTCACAGTTTCTGAAAAAGCAACATATATCTTACCTATGACAGATTCTACTGTGTCACTGGTTGGGTAGAACGGAAGAGCATTGGCATTCATACCAGGAGTACCACTTATGGCTGCAGGGCTGGGGGGAGTTGCAGCTAGACTAGAAGTAATACTAGAGGAAATGCTGGAGGTCAGTGGACTCCCCATTGGCATTATTCCTAATGCATCCTGTAAAGATGATAACAACATGGCAAAGCTGTGTTACAGAATATGACACAAAGCATATTATATTTTGTGAATATTTTGCATTAACAAGCCTATTAAAGATACATTATCAATACAAATGATCCTAAAGCAAACCTTTGATTTGCCCATGCAGGGGAAGGTAACAGGTGTACTTTAATGCCCCCTTCTCCAGCAGCATATACTCACCTTCCTTTTGCTCTGCCATGGAAGCAAGAAAAGGGAGTCCTATATAAGCTCTGAGTCACAGCTTACACAGGGCTGAGGACTGGCTGTCTATCTGATCCCATGTGCCAGGGCTGGGCCAATCACCAGCACAATCTCATGTGGGGCAGAGGAGTGAGTCATATGCTCCTCTATACCCAGAAGTATTGGGTATATTCTCCGCTCTCAGTGACTGAATGGAGTGGTGGCAGAACTCAAGTAAGGCTATAATGTGCTGCTGGGGAGGGAAGCATAAAATCAATCCTTCTACTTTGCCCAGCATTAGCAAATCACAGGTTGCTTTAAAGGAAACCTGTGCCAAAAGAAAAGAGACAGCTGCCATTACTGGCCTCCTTTGAAAATGCTGCCTTCCTGGTAGTCATACTGATTTTATGACTTCAGTATTTTAATTCAATGACCTGCAGCATGCATGATGCCACTGAATTCAGAAATCCTTTTATTACATACTTTAGAGAGTAGTATTTAAAGAAACACAGGGCAAAGTTACAGTGTCTGTGTAATGCACCCCACCCCCAATCAACCCACTGACACTTACATCTTCAGTGTTTTCTCACCACTCTGTTCTCCATTGTAGCTGCCACCAAAACACATGGTTTTGGCTGGTGTCACGTGGCTGCACTAGGGTCTAATGTGTGGACGCTAGGTCAGAAAACTGCAATATGGGAGAAAGTCACATGATTCCCCCAAGCACCAAGTACTTTGCATCAGATCTAACAGAAGACGTATTGGCAGAGGAATACTCGAGAGGTGAGTTTCAGTGGGTTGAGGAGAAGGGAGGCTGAGACCTCTTTACACAAACACTCTCATGTTGACACTACTAGGCAAAGTAACAAGCATTAGCGTAACATGTCAGCCAGGCAACTAGCATTTTTAAGACAGACCAGTGACGTTAAAGGATCACCTTGAGTAACATATTACACCCATATTTAGGATGTAACATGTTACTAATTGAGCAGCCCCTGCAAACCCTAATTCCGCCTTCCCCCAAGTGCCCCCCCATGTCCCTGTTGTGATAAGAGTGCTGGGGATCTCCTCTTCACAATTGCTGTCATGATTTTTTTTAAAAATGCGGCTGGTTGGTGCTCTGCCCAACCAGCCCCGTCATTCATTCACAGAATTCTGAGAATTGGAGAACTACAACTGCTGTCAGCCATTGATGCTGACAGCTTGTAATTCTCAATGAACTACCAGGGCGCTGATTAGCACTTTAGGTAGTTCATTGATCCTCCCTGTCATTCAGTAACTGCCTGGGCAGACAGATACACTGACAATCAGCAAGAGCCTTGCAGCGCAATGCTTTACAGGTTCCTAATTTAAAAAAAAAAAAAAACAAATCCACATTTTTTTACATGCGAAAAGATGTGCTTTTTTTTTTTTTTTTAAAGGTGAACATATGCTTTAACCTCAATATTTCTATCAGCACAGGTTTACTTTACCCACTGGCACAAATAGATTACGTATAGTTACATTTTGCAAAATAGTTCATCCAGATAATATAGTTGGGGTTATTCCTAATGGCTTGGTGTTACAAAACGGAGCACAGAGGTTTTTGAATGACAGTCTACAACAGCCTTTCTCAACCTTTTAAATACAGAGGAACCCTTGCAATAACTTTCCGGTCTCAGGGAACCCCTGCTAAAAAATTACTATATCTACAACTCATGATACAGTAGTGTGATAGTCAGTGAGAAGAATGCTCCTTACACTTGTGGACATTGAAAGAATTACCCCCTTGCAGATAGCTAAAAAGATCAAAAGGTGTCAGTGGCAACTTTTCTTAAGAGCCAAAAATGTCTCTTTGCTCAAGGAACCCCTAGCAACCTCTGGAGGAACCTTAAGGTTCCATGGAACCCTGGTCTACAATTTTACACCTTGCTATTAGCACAGTGCTAAGTACAAAGTGCCACCTACAGGCCAGAAAAAGATGTTACACCGTGTCATAAAGCATCCCATGATATGGAATTCAGTGATGTGAAAGAAACAACACTATAACTTTTAATAAGAGGTTTCATTTAAAAGCTACTAATAAACATTTACTTCTCTCCCTAAAGCTAGGTGCACTTTATGTGACCATGTCAATTATTTTGTTATTAGCATACCATATTTGCTCACAGCCCTTCCTATGGTTTCTTGTAAATAGGCTAATAAGCAGTAATTTTATACCAGGTGGAGCTGAATGTGCGAATGCCCTGTAACTATATCAGTAACACATATCTATATAATAAAATCTGGTTTGTTAAACAGTTCCGTAAAAAAACATTACTGAGACATTTTACTGATATACACATAGACTACTACTACTAGTATTACTAGGAAAGAAATCCAGTTTCCTGCCTTACCTGCTTTGACTGTAGAAGAGATTGATCTTGACCTCTGTGCTCCATCGGGTGCGGTTTTAACTTTGCCTTGGCAAAACAAATAGTGAGAATGTGAGGCGACAGAACCACCAGTTTAATACTGCTGAGGCACACAGTTCTAGAAACAGCTACTGCACAGAAATGGACTACTGTAGTCACAGTAGACAACAGAAGAGTGAGTTCAGGGACAACAGACAGGGTCCCATGATGACAAAGAGTTACCAAATCAAATATACTGACCTGGCTTTTAAAGCTCTTAAGATAATCTGTCCCTGCGGAGTCTTCCCTCTCACACCCTGGGGCTTTTTTGTAGCTGCCTGAGAGGTCACCATGAAAACCAAGGCTATCCAGGTTCTGTGGCTTCCCAAGGGATCCCGGGGGAGAGCCGCAACGATGAGTTGGGCTTCCTATGCTGGCACATAGTATCTGTCAGACAATAGCAAGGCTTTTTTATCCTGCCACTCAAAATGAGAACAAAGTTACAGCACCTTATGGGAACTTGTCAAGAGAGTAAAAATCGAGCTGCCAATGCCCACTTGTTGTTCAAAGTGCTGGCTCCAGGGTTGTCTATTATTCTTGCGACTTAGTGAGTCAGTATTCAAGAGTAAGAATGCAGCTGTTGGACTGCCTGGTTGTTTTGGGTCAGTGACCCATTAAAGAGGTCCTGTCATCAGACCATTCATTTTAACAAAAATCTTCCCATATGAACAGTAAATGTATTTTATACATGTTCTATACGTGTAAAAGCCTCCCTTGTGTAGACATCCAAATGTACTAAAACTGCTTTTGGACATAAGTTCAGAAGCCCCAGAAATCTAGATAGTAAAGGGGAGGAGGAGCTGGGCCAGTACAGACTATAACTGGACAGTCCCAGAGAGGGCTATGACATGCAATTAGGAAGCAGGCTGTGCTTTAAAGTGATTGTAAAGGCTTCTTTTTTTTTTTTTTACATGTTATACTCACCTACTCTGTGCAATGGTATAGCACAAAGTGGCCCCGATTCTCCCCCATCGGCTCTAGGCTCCTCCTTTTCATCCTGCGCTGCCCTAAGAAGCCACTTCCTATAGGGGCTAACTTGTGCGTTTGCTCCCAAGCCAGACTGTGTGCAACTATAGACACACACAGTGTGGTTTGGCCCTGCCCCCTCCTCACAGGATTTGATTGACAACAGCAGGAGAAAATGGCTTCTGCTGCTGTCTCTGTGCCTGTGTGAAGAGTAAGAGAGCACCACTGACTGCAGATGGGCATGGCACTGGATTGACTCAGGTGAGTATACAGGGAGGTGATGGGGCACTGACAGAGACGTTTTTTACTATAATCTAGGGAACACATTAAGATAAAAATCTCTTGCCTTTAGAACCAATTTAATTCTTTCTGTAGGAGTCACATTTTCTAGCAAGTTCAAATGCACAGCAACATGTACTCAGTATGATTTCTTACTTTTTTTTTTTCAAAAGGAGAACAGGTCAAGATAGAGAAATAAGAGCTGGCATCATTAACTTTTTATGCGAATAGCAAAGACCATCATTATTGTCTTTGTCAAAACTGCTTTAAGAGAACCTTTCTTGCAGGTAAAACACAGAAAGAGCACTTGCTAGGGAATTCAACAACTCCAGGAGAGTTCTCCATCTTTCCTGCCATGTCAAAGCCCTATCCTCTGGGAGTATATAATTACTGTCCTTCATGGCCATCTCCTTTCTCCCACCCCCACCTTCATACAAAAACTTTTATGTAGCTGCCAAGGGAGGCGCAAAGAAGCGAATAGTATAGTATCATTTGACTGACAGGTCGGAGTCTGCTGGGGTTACTGTTATCGCATCCAAGACTGCAGTGCCCATCAGGAGTCTCAGGGCTTTTGGATGTCTACACAAGGAGGACATTTACATGTAAATAACATGCAAAACATATGTTAAAATTATTGTATAATCAAATGTGAAATTGTTAAAATCAATGGTCAAGCACCAGCAAGCAACCCTCATTATAAAGGAACCCCCTTGCCTCCAACCCCTCCCTACTGGTTATGCTGCTTTCTCCCAAAAAAAAAAAAAAAAAAAAACATACTCAACGTGCCCAGTGGATCCAGTATTGTACTGCAGCCATTTGCTGCCAGGGTGTTACAGCTTGTGTCCCACGCTGCCATTTTGGTCCTCATCAGCAGGCTGCCTCTACCGGGTTCAGACAGCGCAGCCCCAATGAAGCGGCAGCTCTGCTCACAGCCATTTTGCAGCCTCCTGGGATAAGCAATGGAGATATTCCAAGAGGCTGTGAGAGCAGGACATATCATTCTGGCCTAGACCAGGGCCCCTGGAAAATAATTTAAATAACACAGAAAAAGCCCCTCCAACCCTCCAAAAAATACAGGTATCATTATTAGGAAGATGGAGGTGGAGGCAGACTGTGTAATTCAATCTGCGGAATAACGTTCCACTTTAAGGCCCCCTAATTCTCATGTATTGAGATGTATTGTACTAGCTCCTGCTACTTTCTAAAATGGTGCTCAAAATGTTGCACTATATTTTTCTATATAATATAAAACTATATTAATAACAACAATAATAATTATGATTGTAGATAAGCAAAATGCAATAAAGACTTGACTTTCCTAAATATAGCCTCTTCACCGATTACACAATTTCACTCTGTGAGGAATTAATACAGTCTTACTTACTGATGCTGGTGTTGGACTGGTGGGAAGGTGGCTCATTTTACCCCATACCTGCAAAGTGGGAAGACATGCATTTAAAATGACATACTCTATCTGCCATAAGGAAGAAAAGGGGCATCGATAAAACTAACACAAAATGAAATGCATTCCACAACAGAATATTCAAAGAGGTGTTGGGAACCTTTAGACTTGCAAGTGAAGTCAGCTGAAAGAAAATTTAAAAAATGCTCAAAAGATCTGGTGAGGAGGCTTCCACATAGCAAGTCTACCCTTGATGGGCACCCAACAGTAACTCAAACCATAAAACTCAAAATACAGAAGGAGTGCCAGGCCAAAATCGGATTAAAGAGTTTAAAATCATTGTATTGTTAATAAAAAGACATAAGAACAGCCACCGCATTTCAGAGCAACATAACTCCCCCTTCAACGGGAAACCAATGACATCACAGATCTATATTAGAACCAGTATTGATCTCTCCTCATAGAGGAATAACCTGATCTAGCAATTCTCAGCAACTGCTGTCAGGATGTCATATAAAAACATCCAACGCAGGGCAAACACCACTCCCCCTTCATTGGGACTCAACACAGGATAAAACTTTAATGGAGAATCCAGTGACTGAAGGAGGAGTGATGATGCCCCCAAAACCAGTTGGCTGTTCTTCTATGACTTTTTATCAACAATTAAAATTATCTTAAACTCTTTTATCCAATTTTTGTCTAGCGCTCCTTTCTGTATTTTTATGGTTTGAATTACAAGTGAAATGCAATTTACATGCGCTTTTGTTCAATGTAAATGTTATCCACCAACAATGACCTAATATTTTAGCTAAGCAAGGTAAAATAAACACAAAAATGCCCTTTTTAAAGCTCATCTCCGGGAAAGAAAAAGGTCTCCCTTGCAATGGGGCTGCCTCCACGCTGTAAAGGTTAAATGCTTGTTGAGGTCTAGGGAGTTGCTAAAAGCACTTCTACTTATTTGATCCTCTGCTATCCATCCGAACAGCTGATGCTCTTCTCTACTCCCCCATGCTCCAGCAGTGGACTGTCCCCTGACGTTCTCACATCCAAAACAGGGATATGGGGTCTGATTTAGTCTTGATATCAGAGGGCATCCGACCGCCAGAACAAAGGGGAGATGAGCCTGCAGGAAACAGCTTTACAACCTGGAGGGAGCCTGTAGGAACAGAGGATCGGGTAAGTAAAAAGGTATTTTTGACTCGCCTGTAAAATCTCTTTCTTGGAATACATAACTGGACACAGGAGCAACGTGATCCACTCTTAACTAAGGAATGGAAAGTAAGTAATCTCTGACAGAGCACCACCAATGCAGAAACATGACCTTTATAGTCCTCAGGGATAAGGAGTTGTTTAGTCCTGACTGAAGGAAGGATAAAACCTGTGCCACCGAGTATATCCAGGGATTAGGCTGTGCTTTTCAAGCACAGTGGTAAACCCTACCAGACGAAAGCTTTCTGGTCCTCAACTGGGAATCGTGAAAACCACCAGATCCCTGTCTGTAGCGACTTGGGCTTAAACTGCTAAGCCATCAAAACCAGGATGTCAGGATGCTGAGTTGCAATAGTCTTAAATGAAGTTGCCTAAAATGGGACTGTCATCAACCCAAGCACCCTCATGCAGAGGCAAAGGTTCCTGAGCCTTGGAGAAGAAAAACTCATGCCAGGAGCATATCCAGGATGATGGCTTAAAATATTTCAGTTGGTGCAATGGCTTCAGGGTTGACTTTCTGATACTGATGACTCAGCTGAAGTCCTGCAGGACTTGAACTGTCTGATGGCCCCAAGGCCATCTCTGGATTACTCCTGCAGGAGCAGATCATCTATATATCTCAGAATGGGAATCTCCCTAGCTTGCCGAAGAGCCAAAACTGGGGTCAGCACCTTTGTGAATACTTACAGTGACATGGCCAGGCAGCTAAAAGGAAGAACCACAAACATGAAATGTTTTTTTTTCCCGCTGCAAAGCATAGTTAGCACTGATGAAAATGAAATACAGGGAAGTGGAGGTAGGCGTCCTTGATGTTCACTGAGGCCAGGAAATCCCCTGGATGGATGAAAGCAACCACTGACCCTACAGATTCTATACAGAACTTCAAATAGGTAAGAATTTGTTCAAGTACTTCAGGTCCAGAATGGACATCGTCATTTGGCTTAGGCACTATCAACAGGATGGAAAAGTAACTATGAAACCTTTCAAGCTCTGGAACAGGGAATGACCCCAGAGCACAAGTGGTCAGCAAACAAGACTGCTTTTTTGTTGGGTAAAGTAGACACATATGACAAAATGAAGCACAGAGGGAGAAAGGACAGAGAAACTCTGGCTTGCAGCCTTTGGACACAATGTTTTTAATGGAGACATTGAAGATATGTGGGGTCCATATGGCCACAAACATTACATTACCCGATTGCAAAAGTGGGAGGGGACTTCAGGTGGAAGAAGGTTTGTTGCCCGACTTTGTGGTTTGGTAGTTCAGGACTTTCTGTCTCACCAGTGAGTTCTGAAAAGAGCAAAAGTAAACCTTCTTGGTTCCAGATGAAGGTGGCCTTTGCTGCGAAGGCTTCTGTCACTTTTTTGGAGGTAAAAGACTGCTCTTTCCTGTTGTGATTTTTTTGGATAAACATCTCTAGAGCATTGCAAGTATTCACCCTTGAAAGGCATACGTTACAACTTCTTGCAGGGAAGTTCTGCTATCCAGCAATTTTGGCACAGCGCTCACCTCATGATGTACACTGACATAGGCCCCATATGAGTTTCTAGAGGGAGTCTCCCAACCCCATCCACATAGTTCTGTGAATGAACGAACTAGAAGTCTTCCACCGCAGCAGATGGCTTGTAGTTCTCAATGATCAGTGAGGAAGCTGGTGAGTGCTCCCATAGTTCACTGATTATCCCTGGACTTCAGTAACTGGGCAGACAGCTGAACTGAGAGTCTGCAGAACCTGGGTGAATGCACTGTAGTCTCCTAAAAAAAAAAAAAATAATTGATGCATTTTTTTTACTAGCAAAAAATTTGCTTTTTATTTTTTCTATAAAGTGAACCTAAGTTTAAGTAAAGTGCTTTTTACTGACCCCCCTCCCCACGACCTAAATCGATCCTGCAAGGGCAGCCCCAATGCAAAGGAGTATTTGTTCTTTCCTCTGAGTTAGTATTAAATACAGCTTGCATATAGCTGTAAAATTTATCCTGGAATATCCATAATCACCTCCAGCCTCTCTGGTTATCATATAGTTTTAGGGTTGTTTTGTTTGCATCTTTGTGGCTTTCTTTGCCATAGAAGTCAACTTGAATGCAAAAGAAACATGAAGCAGCTCAATTAAGCTCTTTAACCGCTTCCCAACTGTCCTATAGCAGATATACTGCTATAGGTCAGCAAGAGTGCGCAAAATCACGTGTATATATATATACACACACATATATATATATATATATATATATATATATATATATATATATATATATATATATATATATATATACACAGTGGGGCAAAAACGTATTTAGTCAGCCACCAATTGTGCAAGTTCTCCAACTTAAAAAGATGAGAGAGGCCTGTAATTGGCATCATAGGTAGACCTCAACTATGAGAGACATAATGAGACATAATGAGAAAAAAAATCCAGACAATCACATTGGCTGATTTGGAAAGAATTTATTTGCAAATTATGGTGGAAAATAAGTATTTGGTCAATATCAAATTGAATCTAAATAATTTGTTATATATCCTTTGTTGGCAATGACAGAGGTCAAATGTTTCCTGTAAGTCTTCACAAGGGTAGCACACACTGTTGTTGGTATGTTGGCCCATTCCTCCATGCAGATCTCCTCTAGAGCAGTGATGTTTTGGGGTTGTCGCTGGGCAACACGGACTTTCAACTCCCTCCAAAGGTTTTCTATGGGGTTGAGATCTGGAGACTGGCTAGGCCACTCCAGGACCTTGAAATGCTTCTTACGAAGCCACCCGGGCGGTATGTTTGGGATCATTGTCATGTTGGAAGACCCGGCCACGTTTCATTTTCAATGCCCTTGCTGATAGAAGGAGGTTTGCACTCAAAATCTCACGATACATGGCCCCATTCATTCTGTCCTGTACATGGATCAGTCGTCCTGGTCCTTTTGCGGAGAAACAGCCCCAAAGCATGATGTTGCCACCCCCATGCTTCACAGTAGGTATGGTGTTCTTTGGATGCAACTCAGCATTCTCTCTCCTCCAAACACGACGAGTTGTGTTTCTACCAAACAGTTCTATTTTGGTTTTACCTGACCATATGACATTCTCCCAATCCTCTTCTGGATCATCCAAATGCTCTCTAGCAAACGTCAGACGGGCCCGGACATGTTCTGGCTTAAGCAGGGGGACACGTCTAGCACTGCAGGATCTGAGTCCCTGGCGGCGTAGTGTGTTACTGATGGTAGCCTTTGTTACGTTGGTCCCAGCTTTCTGCAGGTCATTCACTAGGTCCCCCCGTGTGGTCCTGGGATTTTTGCTCACCGTTCTTGTGATCATTTTGACCCCATGGGCTGAGATCTTGCATGGAGCCCAAGATCGAGGGAGATTATCAGTGGTCTTGTATGTCTTCCATTTTCTAATTATTGCTCCCACAGTTGATTTGTTCACATCAAGCTGCTTGCCTATTGCAGATTCAGTCTTCCCAGCCTGGTGCAGGTCTACAATTTTGTTTCTGGTGTCCTTCGACAGCTCTTTGGTCTTCACCATAGTGGAGTTTGGAGTGTGACTGTTTGAGGGTTGTGGATAGGTGTCTTTTATACTGATAACAAGTTCAAACAGGTGCCATTGATACAGGTAATGAGTGCAAGACAGAGGAGCCTCTTAAAGAAGAAGGTACAGGTCTATGAGAGCCAGAAATCTTGCTTGTTTGTAGGTGACCAAATACTTATTTTCCACCATAATTTGCAAATAAATTCTTTCCAAATCAGCCAATGTGATTGTCTGGATTTGTTTTCTCATTTTGTCTCTCATAGTTGAGGTCTACCTATGATGCCAATTACAGGCCTCTCTCATCTTTTTAAGTGGGAGAACTTGCACAATTAGTGGCTGACTAAATACTTTTTTGCCCCACTGTATATATATGTGATTTTGCATTTCTGGGTAGGGGGGGCACGCACAAGACGCCCTACCCGCACTACCCTTCGCAGCAGTAGCTATCACCAGGTCCCTGCCAGTGATTATTCGCCGGCGCCCAATGATTGCCGAGCATCTCTGAGGGAGAGAACTGTATGTAAACCAATATAGTTTTTCTCCCTGTCAGCTCATGCACACTGCTTTGGATGGCTGTGCACAGCACAGCCATGCAAAGCAGTGAGATTACAGTGAAGCACATGGACACAGCTTACAGTAAAACAGCACACAGTTAACCCTTTGATTGCCTCTCATGTTAACCCCTTCCTGCCCAGTGCCCTTAGTACAGTGTCAGTGCTTTTTTTTAGCACTGACCACTGTATTGGTGTCACTGGGGATGTCAGTGACACCAAGTCAGTTACCCCATGTCAGAATGCCCACCGCAGTCCCACTATAAGTCACAGATTTCCGCCATTACTAGTAAAAATAATATTAAAAAAATTAAAAATTCCAGTATCTGTACCGCTATAACTTTCACGTAAACCAATTAATTTACACTTATTGGGATTTTTTTCAGCAAAAATTTTTATTTTTTTACTGGACATTTTTAATAGCAAAAAGTCAAAAATATTGTTTTTTTTCTCAAAATTGTCGGTCTTTTTATATAGCGCAAAAACTAAAAAACCGTACAGGCAATCAAAACAATACCAAAAGAAAGCTCAATTTGTGGAAAAAAAAGGACGTACATTTCATTTTGGTGCAGCGTTGCATGACCGCACAATTGTCAGTTAACACAGCACCGTAACGCAAAAAATGGCCTGGTCAGGAAGGGGGGTAAATCCTCAGGAGGGCGAGTGGTTAAGCAAATGAAAGGCAAATCAAAGCAACTCAAATCTGGCATGTTTTGGAGTATATTGCCTACATACACAGGCATTTACTTCAATATGACTGTCTAATCCAAAAGCATACTTTTTTCCTGAAAGCCAGTTAGCTTCCTCTAATGATTAAGACCAATTGAGGTCTCATGTCTTTCTATTTCTATATAGTTCTGCTGCTTCCTCCTCTCACTCTGCAGGGCTCTGTGCTAACAGAACCAAATAACAGCCAGCCCCTTAGCAAAAGTATGTTCACAGGTGAGGGTGTGTGTCAAACAAGGTTTGTTACATTGCAGTGCTCACATGGTCTAAATCTGACCACACACATTTATTTTTTTCAGTCAGTCAGTGGGCACAGTTACATATGAGGCAGATGGAAGAATCCCCCTGCTAAGACAATTTATTCTGACAGTGGCACCCGCCACTGTCAGAATACACTGATCAGTGGCTGCAGCTAATCGGCTGCTGATCGATGGAAAATTATCCAACATGTCCCTTCGACAGAAGACAAATAAACAATCGCCTTCTTTCAATTGAATTCTGAACCAGCAGCATTTCGAGCATGTCCAGCTTTACTGGTGTCTATTGGGCTGTACTGTCAGGCACCCTGCACAGCTCCTGTTAACAGAAAAGTGTGGGTGAGATTATAAAAATGGAATTACAATTGAAAAAAAGCAATTAGTAGAATATTTCTATTAAAAAAAAGGAAAGTAAAATGCAACATACACTGCTGAAGTCTGGTGCATGGGGGCTGGATGGGCTCACAGGAACAGAGTCTCCAGCAGCCGAAGGCATATACATAATAGGTCCAGTTTGTGTAGGGCTTGACACAGCTGAAGGAGATTGTAAGTCATCACATAGAAGAGACTCTATAACGAGAATATTATACTATTATGAAAGCAGGTAAGACATTAGAAACAGAGACAACATCTGCAGCAATCTGTGTCTGGGGCACATTGTCACCTCCAGAGCTTACAACGTGCAATGAAGAGAACAGGTCATAAGCAATCAGCGTGCCAATGACCCGATTTTCACCAGCAACACACTAGTTCTGATGATGTCATATGAAGTGAAGCAGAACACATTCAGCTTCATTGCTCCAGATCTAGCATGCAACTAACACTTGCTGAAGTCGAATGCACTTGCATAGTACTTAAAAAGGCAGTTGGGGCGCTGATATTTTGAAACAGCTACTCTATTCATAACAAGCAACCTAATAGTGTATCTATGGACAAATTGTTATTTTTTTTTCGTTTTGGATAGATTAGGAAGTATTCAGAACCCCTGTCAGATTTCTTGTCTATGGGATGTCTCAGAGACACAACAGGAAGTAAGAGGAAATCCTGTCTGGTCACCAGAACATGTGTCCCCATTGGACAATTGCCCCTCACATCCTGCCAACATTTGTGATTTTTCATTTTACTGTACCAGAAAACAAATGATCACCAGCACAAATATAGTGGATAAATAACCCAGCAGGGTCATAGACAGAAATAAAAATCCAATGGAAGACGAGTGCCAGAATCCAAGATTTCCACTTTTGAGCAATATTTTTTTATTACCAACTTTGTAAACATAAAACAGCCAACAAGTTTTAGCGTGCCCCCCTTCTTCCTGATTAAACTTGAAATTGTTGAATTATGAGCATTTAGATGTTCGGGGGTATTGAGTGATATGCTATATAGTTAGCCTGTGTTCCAAATGTTTTGGCTGTTTTAAGTATACAAAATTATAGAATATAATCAAATTCCCTCACAATAATAAATCTCGGACTTTTCATTATGGTACTCCACACACATTCATGTTGAGCCGCCATAGGAAGTCCTTCCTACAACACTCATAATCATAATGAAAATATGGGTCAGAAACCATCCATAATAAAAGTTCAGTGCTACCACTCACCTATAGCAATAAAAACTGACAGGGGATCTAACACTTGTACACTATCAAAAGAAAACATTTTTTCTTTAGATATACTTTAAAGGGTTTTTAATTATTTTCAGTACAGTGTACAAGTTACACACTGAAGTGTGATAAAATAACCTACGTTCAACATGTGCAAAGGCACAAAACGGCCCACGTGGACAGCTGCCAGACTGTTGCATATCGTTGCACTTTGTAGATTTGTAAATCTATGTAAGAGGGGAAAAGGAGTGTTAGAACTGATGACACACCATAGCCCCATATGGTGAGAGTCAGAATGAAAGTTACATAAAGGGGCAAAAGGGGGAACTTTTACCTCAGGGTGGAATTGCTGTTCTGTTCTTGTGTGACAGTATTGACATGAATCTCCACTTTCACACTTACTAGGGTCACCCCATTCATCGCCATGTTTTACATTTGGACACGGGGAAGACCTATGCAAGAAAAGAATGTGAAATCCAGGTAAACCAGAAAATAAACTGCATTTGGCAACAGAAGAGTTCCTGTTGATAAGTATAACCAGAGCTAGATCATACACAATGCAAACTAGGCAGAAACGTATAGCCAAATGGATTCTCCAGGGGACAAGCTATAACCTCCATACTTCTAAAGTAAACTATGGGGAACTGCAGATGATCAAAGCTGTGCACCTGTCTTGTCATTCAAAATGGAAGATGACCCTTTAAGCAGATGGAGTCTAATGGGGCGACCTATGCCAGTACAGCAGGGCTCGACAAATGCCAGGCGCCAGGTCACCATGGTATCCTGGCACCTGGGCTTTTGCCAACCCATTCACTGTTGGCACCAACTGTATGTAATTCCTATTGCCTGATGCCCCGGACATGCAGCTTTTGGCACTGGGCAGCTCTGATTTAGTTTTAACATCTAAAAACAAAAAGAAAAAACTTTAGCTCTGCTGCTTTTTTTTCTCCACATACCGGCACTCCGGACTGCTGTGTGCAGGGTGTCGGCGCTCTCTGGGAACACAGGGCTCTCAGCCATTGCCCCTCCATCAACCGGTCTCTGATCACCACTCTGGGGAGATGGCAGAGATGTGACAGGACAGCGAACATGGAGGATCGAAGGATGAGCCTGACTGCTGGCTCCCAACTCTGCCAGAGCCGCTCTAGGGCGAGAGAAGAGTGCGGACTCTGACCTCCCTCCACTCTCCTTGGAGGCCTTGCTCGGACACCTGTTCCGTTCCGGCTGTCACCCATCGGGGATTGGATCTGGGGTAGGAGATCAGGGTGTGTGGTGTAGGCCAATCTCAGGGTGCCCAGGGAGACTGGCTGATGGAGAGGCAGTGTTTGAGAGCTGTGTGTTCCCGGAGAGCGCCGACACCCCACTGTGGGGGGGATTTGTGAGAATTAGTGAAAGGGCAATCAGCATAATATTGAGGAGTTTCCCCCTATAACATGTTTTTATTGTCATTCCTTCCAGCCAGCTTATAACCCTGACATAATGGCATAACGTCAAGGTTATTGACTAGCTGCCCTGCTGTAAGTTATGGTTAGGGGGTGCAAATTACTTTCCTTGCCCCGGGTGCTGACAACACACGCTATGCTAAAAAAAACTGGCTCCTAACTTTTATAGCTGGCTCCTACATTTAAAGCAAATTTGTCAAATTACAGGCAATGCAAATGGACCAACTTCTCTGTGCCTATTGAAATCCTTATATCAGAGAAATGAGGGGTGGGGCAATGTTGCTACTTTTCAGCCTTAACCACTTGGCAACCGCGCTGTAGCCGAATGATGGCTACAGCGTGGTTGTCCAGTTCTGGGAGGGCATGATATGACGTCCTACCAGAACGCACCCTCCCACGTGCCCCCAGGGCCGCACACACGGTGATCCCCGTGAACGCTGTGTCCCCACAGACACAGCTTATCAGGTGATGTGGTAAAAGGCCAATCACAGCGGCCTTTTACCACGTGATCAGCCGTGTCTAATGACACAGCAGATCACCAGTAAATGCAGTTGTCACAGCGTGAGGAAAGTACTGCCGATAAACGGCAATTGTCAGAGGACGGATCGGCACCGATCATCATGGCACTGACGATCAGTGCCATGATGATCGGTGCCCAGCAGTGTCACCCACCAGTGCCACCCATCTGTGCTCAGCAGTGCCGCCCATCAGTACCACCCACCAGTGCCATCAGTCAGCGCCACCCATCAGTGCTGCCTATCAGTGCCCATCATTGTTGCATATCAGTGCCAGCTCATCAGTGTCGCCTCATCAATGCACATCAGTGAAGGAGAAAAATTACCTGTTTGCAAAATTTTATAACAGAAACAAAGAAAAACTTTTTAATTTTTTTGCTTTTTTTTGTTTATAGCGCAAAAAATTAAAAACACCCAGCGGCGATCAAATACCACCAAAAGAAAGCTCTATTTGTGTGAAAAAAATGATAAAAAATTCATAAGGGTACAGTGTTGCATGACCGCACAATTGTCTTTCAAAGTGCGACAGTGCTGAAACCTGAAAATTGGCCTGGGCAGGAAGAGGGTACAAGTGCCTGATAGGTAAATGGTTACTCTATTTCTGGGGTATAACATTATATATACTTATATATACTTAAAGTAAATTTGTCACAAACCGAGGAAATTCAACTGAGAATATAATGAAAAAATAATGTATTAGAAGCCACCTTAATTAAATACTGGGGAGGGGGAGAGAGATACAGAAAATTGGCCTCTATGCTTTATGAGGTAGCCACTCACATTACAAGATTAATGGTAGGGCTCAGAAGGTGAGTGGAGGCAGAGCAAAACCCGATTAACAGAAAAGTCAAAATTAAAGTTTAGGGAAACAGTGTGTGCGTGTGTATGGGGAGTGGGGTAAATGTTAGGGGATCACTTTGGGGGTTTGTTACATTTAAGGAGGATTACATGTCCGTCTGCATAACAAGAATGTGGCATTCTTTTATTTAGATGTACTGTATTTGTCTCTTATGCCTGCCAGCAATATTTACTGAATGTAGACTGAGCCGGGCATGTGCAACTCCGAGTACATTCACAGCATGCCTTGAGTGTCCAGAAAAAATAAACTCCCGTGTGGGACATACTTCATCCCTGGCCCGCCAATTTAGACCGCTGAGGAAGCCAAAGGCAAAGATGTCATATTGTAGCCATCGCACCGTTAGAGGGGTGCCCTTTACAGGCAGCCTACCATAATGTGCAAATTTACTGTACAATCTGGCAAAAGCCCCAGAGACCTGCAGCAGACTTTAGTTATACTTTACATTAGTTCAAACCTGTAACAAAAGTGTAACTAGCCTTTCAAATAACAAGTACAGTCACAAAGATTTTCAGTCATTCTTATTTAAAGCATGGATTTCTGATTTCAAACTGATTTATTTTCTCCTAATATCATACCTGTACTTATTTTGGCGTGGACTTCTCCTCCTATCTTTGCTATTGTGATAATAAGGACATGCGTAACCTTGTCGACAAAGTCGTGGAGGCTTTTTACACTGCTCTGTCTTGTAGTGTCCAAGAACATATGTGGTATCTGCAAATCAAAAAAAAGAAGGTCGTCAACTTAAGTGGCTTCACTCCCATGGCTGGTAATATTTAAAATGATACAATTCACTCTCTCTACATTTGCACAACGTCCAGTTATGGACTCTGCTAGGAGAAAACAGAGGGGGGGGGGGAATACTATTGGCTACGCCTGCCTCACACAGCTTCTAAACCCAAGGACAAAAATTAAATATACGGCACCTTACCAGTTCTTAGATATGGTGGCTGCACTGGCTTTCTTTTTCAGGTTAAAGTAGAACTGTACTGTATCTGAGCATCACAAATTCAAAATGCTATTTCATTCATTTTTAATATTCAAAGCAAACTCCCCTATCCTTCCATGTCTCCATGCTTTATTTTGCTGAGAAATCACTTTGAAAACACCCCACCCCCTAGCATTTCTAGCCACGGCAACCAAGAGCAGATGATTCATGTAGCATTTACCATCTTGAATCCATCTGCCCTTAGCTCAGGCATGCAGACAGGAGGGCGTACTTAGCTTAGAAAACACCTCCTACCCTCCTGAAGACTCCTGGGATGTATGACATCATTTGCCTAGGCCAGAAACCAGGAAGCAACTAAAGAAATATAAAAAAAAAAAAAAAAAAGGCTTGAAACAAGTAAATATAATATACCTTCCTATTTATTTATTAATGCTAGCAGCATAAGGATTATAAATTAAGCGTAAAGTTCCATTTTAAGTACATTTTCTGCAATTACAAAGCAACGTCTGTCGATCCTGATAGAATCCAGCATTATATTCTAACTTCCTGGGTACATGTCCTCCTCCCTATGTCAAAGAGATAAGAACAGGAGGAAGTGTTTGTAGTTCAATCTGGAGATCAACCTTTTTTTTTTCGGGGGGGGGGGGGGGGGTTAGACATACATAAACAAGAACTGGAAACACCATTTTGGTCTATTTTGTAACATGGCACAAAATCATAACAGGCTCTGTTTTTTTTGGTTCCAGAAGAATGTGGCAGAAGAAAATGTGGGAACTGTCATTGCTGATTTGCTTCCAAAAGTCCAAATCCAGCTTTTGAATAAACATAATTCCGTAAACCATAGTAAAAAAAAAAAAAAAGTAAATACCCAGCCTGACTCAAGCCAGAAGAGCACAGGTAGTCAAGGCTCTACTCCCTGTAGTCCATGGGTGTCAAACTGGCAGCCCTCCAGCTGTTGTCAAACTACAAGTCCCATGAGGCATTGCAAAATTGACATTTAGAAGCATGACTCGCAAAGGCAAAGGCATGATGGGACTTTCGCAACAGCTGGAGGGCCGTCTGTTTGACACCCCTGCAGTGTAGTCCCTAAAACTACAGAAGGTGTGGCCATCATACAGCCTATAGTGCTGACGAGACATACTTGTCACTGCTGTGGGACATGTCTACTTCACTCACAGGATGCTACTGGATCACCAACTGGGAAGGGCTGAGGTCACGCAAGTGCCAATTAGAGCATGATTTTCAAATATTTTAGAAAGAGGGGCATTATAAAAACCAAGGAGCAGGAAGGACAAACAATACAGTCCCTACAGTCATGGTCAAAAATACTTCCACCTCTGCATTTCTGAGAGATAACACACCACTACACCCAGAAAATTGTTGCAATTACAAATGTTTACGCATGTTCATGTTTATTTCTTTTGTTTGTATTGGTATGACAAAAAAAATGGAGAAACAAAATCCAAAATTTGACACATTCTACGCAAAACCCCAAAAATGGACTGGACAAAATGATTTGAACCTTCTCAAAATTGTAAGAAATAATTTCATTCAGTTTGTGATGCTCCTGTTATTTGCAATTAAACTCACCTGTATCAATTAACAAGTGCTGAGAATATAGAAACCACACTGGCAACCAGTTAAAATGGTGAAAAATTAACTCAACCTTTCTGTTGTGTGTCTCTGCGTGCCACATGGAGCATGGAGAAAAGAAAAGAGCAGCAAAGAATTGTCTGAGGATTTGAGAACAAAAATTGTGGAAAAGCATGGACAATCTCAAGGTTACAAGTCCATCTCTTAGATTCTAAGCTCTAACGAGCAGGGCCCTCTGTTTCCTCTTGTACCAAATTGTATTGTAACTGTAATGTCTACCTTCATCAAACTGTTCACGCTATATAAATCTTGTATAATAATAATAATCTCCAGAGGTCTTAATGTTCCTGTGTCCACTGTGTGCAACATTGCCAAGCAGTTTACAACTCATGGCACTGTAGCTAATCTGCCTGGACGTGGACGAAATAGAAAAATTAAGCAAAGATTTGGAAGGATTGCTCGAATCGTGGATAAAGAACCTCGATCAACTCCAAGACAAAATCAAACTGACCTTCAGGCACAGGGTACAACTGTGTCAGCTCGCACTATACGTCACCATCTGAATGAAAAGCGACGCTATGGTAGAAGACCCAGGAGGACCCCACTGCTGACACAGAAACATAAAAAAGCCAGATTGGAGTTTGACAAAACTTACCTGAGGAAACCAAAGGCCAGAAAGTTGGGTCTCTGTCAGAGGTCATGGGTCATAGAGCAGGACAATGACCCAAAGCACACGTCAAAAAGCACCCAGAAATGATTTAAGACAAAGCACCGGAGAGTACTGAACTGGCCAGATCTAAATCCCATAGAGCACCTGTGGAGAGATCTTAAAACAGCAGTTGGGAAAAGGAACCCTTCCAATCTGAGAGACCTGGGGCAGTTGGCGAAAGAAGAGTGGTCCAAAATTCCAGTGGAGAAGTGGAAGAAACTCATTGATGGTTACAAGTGACTGATTTCAGTTATTTTTTCCAAAAGGTCTGCTGCCAAATATTAAATTGGGGGTGCAAATAATTTTCTCCTGTCCATTTTTGGGGTTTTTTTGCATGGAATGTGTCAGATTTGGCTTTTTTGTTTCTCTTATTTTTTTTGTGTACCAATACAAACAAAAGAATGAAACATGAGAATGCCGAAACATTTGTAATTGCAACAATTTTCCGGGGCGAAGTGGTACATTATCTGACAGAAATGCAGGGGTGTCAGGGGCAGCTGTCCCCCCACCAGTTATAAGGCCGAGAACTGATTAATCACATACCCACTGATTACTCAGTTCTCGGTCTTCACTGAGCAGAGAGCAGTGACTGTCAGTGCTCTGCTCTGCCCCTCCAGCACTCACTGAAGCACTTGGCAGGAGCGGCTGGCTCAGGCTCTTAGCAGCACATTGAGAGGCTGAGCCAACTGCTGATCAGGAATCTGGGTGGATCCTGACATTGTCAGGAAACATATAGAGACTGGAGCAGAACTGTGACGTCAGTCGATGGTGGGCTTTGGCACACTGTCAGCTGATTCTGGGTCACAGAAGTACAAGTACACTCCTGTGACCCATATGAGAAGTATGGCCAAAAGAGCTTTGTGATTTTGCATTTTAGTGATTAAAGCAGCTTTTATGGGTACCAGGATTGCAAATGTCATTGTACACAAAAATTTGGCTTAAGGCTTAGTTGGACCATACTGTCAAAAGGTATGCTGAAAGTTCAGTGCAAGTTGCCACCCAACTGTGGAACACTGAGTGGGTTAGTGCACAGAACAACCCATACATTTTGTTCTTTGAAATGCTGGAGGGCATGCTTCCTCTGTATATGCTGCTTTTTTACATGCTGCTTTATATAGTTTGTGTGACACGCACTTCCTGACAGCCACAACAGAGCACCATGTCAGTGCCACTTGTAGAATGTACAGTGATAAAAACATGGTTGATCCTACCATTCAATGGTGCTGCCTCCTCCCTATATCCCTGCTTCAGCATCAGATCCTAAGGTGTGACCATTGCCACCTGTACTGCACATGCTAGTTTTTTCTGTTAACATGCTTCACTTCCAAGTTCATCAAGATCTTGGCCGCCCAACAGCATTTACGTAGTGATGAGTCACAAGCCCCTCCTTCCCCCTCCATGACTTTCATTAGTTATAATGGGGCGGATCTAACAGGGAATGAGTGATGGAAGTATCACCTCCCTGCTAGCGCGCCCCCCCCCCCAAGCATACATCATCAGATATTAGCAGCTCCTCCCACAGATCTTTCCCTATGGACAGGGACAAGCAAGGAAAGATCACATGTCCGCTCCAACCCTAAATAAAATAAAGCATTTAAATGCAGAAAAAACATAGATGAGAGAAGCATTATAAGTATACATTGTAAAACATTCTATGCCACTTAACATTTGGGGGGTATTTACTAAAGTTGGAGAGTGCATATTCTGGTGCAGCTCTACATAGAAACCAATCAACTTCCAGGTTTTATTGTCAAAGCTTAATTGAACAAGCTGAAGTTAGAAGCTGATTGGATACCATGCTGCACCAGATTTGAGTGCTACAGTTTTAGTAAATATCTTCCTTTTTGTCTTTAGTATCACTTTATGTTCCACTTTATCCTTACTTGGACCTAAAGTAGAACTAAAAGCATAATTTTTTTTGGATAGAGTAAGGGAGGGTTATAACTTCTGTTATGCCAAATCCCTGGTGAGGAAAGTGAGGAAATCCCTGGTTGTCACCAGAAATTGTGTTCTCATTGGAAGATTTTCCCTCTATTCCTGTTCTGGTGACAACCCAAAATTTGTGTTTTTCTATTACTTTTAAATATAATGGTAAACCAGACAAATAGAGAGGGTTAATCTCCCTAACAGGGGTACAGACAGCAATAAAAGCTGACAGATGTTCTAACCCCTCTCTGCTCTATCCGGAGATGAAAAATGTTTAGCATTTGTGCACTTTAATGTTTGTGTTGTAAAGCAAACCAATGCATGTATTATAAGAAGCAATGTTATTTAATGAGGCTGTTCAGATCTCTGCTGTGCGTTTGAAAAATGAGACATGCCCCAGTTATGTGTGCATTTTTATGTGCTGTGATGCCCAACATAATAATGAAACTTTGTGTACATGTGCTACAACGCACATTAACAAAACACATACAAAATGGACAAAGGTGTACACAAATGAGAACCTAGCCTTACAGTGTG